CTGCAGGCTCAGAGGCCGGCAGCGACATGTGGAGAACGTTGGAGTCCTCAGTCACTGAAGCAAGCAAGCTTCATGTTAGTTTCAAGCTGCCTGGCTGCCAGCCGCCATCTTGGCTGACAGTTAATTTGCATATCTCCCTGATTAGCCAATGGGAAGGGTATCGGTCGTAAGCCAATTACCATGTTTCTCTTTTATTAGTGTAGACGTTCTTTGCAAGACACTGCTTTAAAGTGTTTTGTATATAAATGATGCTACTAATACTTATAAATGTGGAAATTGCATTTTGATTAGAGATGTAATTTGGGTGTTTTGTTTGGCCTACCTCCTTCTGTACTTGGAAAGCCACTACCCATTAACTCTATTAGTGTGTGTTTTTGTGTGTGTGTGTGTGTGTGTGTTTGTGTGTGTGTGTGTGGGTGTGTGTATCATATAATGTAGGCTTAACCTGAAAATATATCGAGACTAACGAGAATGTTTGGAATTGGTCTTTCAGCTTGATTATGTGCTAGGATCTCTATTACTTCTCATATTATGTTTGAGAAGTTTTCTTTGTACCTCAAGGGCAATGAGCCTGGCCTCACTTACAATTGTGAATGCAGATATTAGCAGTGCACACTCTTCTTTAGGCAGCTTGCTTACTGTCACGTGGTTTTATTTACTTCCTCAGAAAAGGAATATTGAATCTCAAGGTAATTAAACACAGCATAGTTCATGGGAAAAGCAGAAATTTGGGGCCAGAACATTTTAAATTGTGTGATCCTGTCCAAGGTTTCTTTCCAGAGCCACTGACTCCTTGTCTATAAAGCAGGGGTCACACCTGCTCTGAGAGTTTCCTACCAGGACAGTGCCTGGCACAGAGGTGACACTTTATAAATATTAATCCCCTTTGCAGTAGTTTTGTGTCAGAATATGACAAGAGCATTTCACAGGCACAAAGTCATACACAAAAAACAAGCTCTCCCCTCACGTGGCCATTCCACATTTCATGTTGTTACGTCAAACTATAAAAGGTATCACTGTTGTTCCCGTCTGCTGTTTTCATGGGGTGACTGTGAATGGGAGAATAGGAGGAGTTGAATTATTAATTGTGAAGAGTACTTAGTTCTATAAATAGAGAAGAAATAACCTAAAAGAGATCTTTTTAAAAAAACATTTTAATAATCTGAGATATGGAAAATAACTTAGAAGTGATCACCTGAGGCCCTAGCCAGTTTGGCTCAGTGGATAGAGCATCGGCCTGTGGAATGAAGGGTCCCAGGTTCGATTCTGGTCAAGGGCACATGCCCAGGTTGCGGGCTTGATCCCCAGTGTGGGGCATGCAGGAGGTAGCTGATCAATTATTCTCTCTCATCACTGATGTTTTTCTCTCTCTCTTCTTCATTTTTCCTCTCTGAAATCAATAAAAAACACACACAACAAATAAGATAAAAATGTATATATTAAAAAAGAAATGATCATCTAAGTCTTAATATCTGTCAATTGTAAACATATATTTATAGTAAATATATGTTATAAATATATATACATTTAAGTCATTTATAAGTGCATTCAAAGGGGGAATAGTAAATGCATTTGGAAGAAGTTTGAACTACCTTTCAACTTTTGTCTCAACACATTATGTAATTCAGCCACGGATCCATTTCCATTGTGGTTTTGGATTACTTTCCAGTATGCACAAATAAAATAAAAGAGTAATGGTGTGATCATCTTGCTTAAGGTTACATATTTGGGGCAGAGCACACACCAGAAAATTAGATTGGTAAAATTCTTTTTTATAGGGTAGGATAGGATGCTCAACATAAAACATGCTTTCAGTACAACAGGCTACTGTGACCCCCATTTTGCAGTAAAGCATATACTTGTTAGCTATGGTTGTCAATAATGCATCAATCATGTCTGTCTCCAGCCAGCCATGGCTGAACTATTGCTGGAAGAAGCCCACTGTGTCCCTGTGAGGAATAACAAGTGCTAGTTTTGCTGCGGTATCTGCCTTTCTTCATGCCAAATGATCTCCTGGCAGTTTTCCTTGACACAGGCATTATGAATGGCTGGAGAAACCATCATTTTCTGTACTTTATTGGTTTAGACACAAGGTGAAGTCTTCTAAGCTAAATGGAAGTAATAGAGGAAGCAGTGAGCCTCGGTGTTCCTTGGACTGGCCTGGATTGAGCATTAACCAGCATGTGTCTCGGTCTGGTTGATTACAGGAGAAGATGTGTCAGGGAGTCTCTGCCCAGCATCTGTTCCTCCTGAACGGACAGCTTGTGAAATTCCCTGCAGGATGGATTGCGTGGTGGGCGAATGGACAGAGTGGTCATCCTGCTCCCAGTCTTGTTCAAATAAAAACTCGGATGGGAAACAGACCAGGTCAAGGACTATCCTGGCATTGGCTGGAGAAGGTGAGTCATACTAAAGGCTTCAAGGAAGTCCATTGCCCAGTTATTGTTTTCCAATAGGTAACTGTGAAGATCATATCACGGAAGTAGACACATTTAGGTGACCTTCTATACGTATTCCATGAATCCAAATGAACACTTTCCTGTCGTTGTGTGCCTGTTCTCTTTAATCCTCAAGGGTGTCTGTGCTGAGTTCCATTTACTTGCATGAATTTGTTTTAGTCCATCTTATGTTATTTTTCATTATACTCTTTTAGGGAAGAAAACAACGTCTGGTTGATACACATCCAGCTCATGTAGTTGGGGACATAATTGGAATATGTCTGGTAAGAAGGGTGCCAAATTAGGAGTCGAGAGACACGGCTCCTTACCTGGAAACTGCCGGTCACTTCGGCAAGCTACCTGATCCCTATGCCCTGATTTTCTGTTCTCTCCTGCTGGCATGTGGTGAGAGGAGAAAGGATGGTGGCTGTGCAAATGGCTTTGAAGAAGCTAAAATGTGTGATGGGAATGTAAATGGAAGGCATCAGAAAAAACTAGAGGAGCAGCTGTTGCTATTATTGATAGCAGTGTCTGAAACCAGACGATGGGTGTCATTCTCTCAGGCCCTCCCTCGGCTTTGTCTGCCCACAGCTCAGTTGGAACAGCAAGGCAGTGTGGCCTCCGGATGCAGGGAGCTCCTCTTTCAACAAGATACTGTTCTGTGATTCTGAGACAGGGGGCCAGTGTCAAGATGAATGAAGATTTTCACATTCTTAAAGTGCAGTCGCTTCCTCTTCTGTCTTTTAGAATGTTGGATGGAGAGGGGGCGGGGGGGGGGGAAGTCTGTAGTATTTAATGGGGAAAAACTTTAACAAGAATAACAAAGTCAAAGCCACAAATTTTCTTGAGCATTTGGCCCACTGAATAAAATAGTGTGAAAGATCGGGGGGGGGGAAATCAATGCTTTAGGTAAATACCAGTTTTCACATGGATATAAAAATATGAAAGACAGTACTGAAATTGGATTGTCTGACTCACCAAGAGTGTGAAGATCCATATCTATCTGGTCTCCCAGCCTGTGGATAACATGTTGTCAAATATGATTTCAGAGGTCAAGGATGGCTTCCTCTTGCCAAACTTTAAGAGAGACTTCTCAAATCGTAATAAGATGCACTGCTTGATGGAGGATGGGTGTTTTAAAATGGTACTTGATAAAATAATGCTTTCTTAGTAAAGAGAGGCCACTTATAGGCAATGTGTGTGCCTGTGTGTGTGTGTGTGTGTGTGTGTGTGTGTGTGTATAGGACCCAGGATCAATTCAAGGTCATGGGGTATTTTTCTAACTAATTTATTAAGCATAGTAATATTAAAATAAAAGCAGATTTCTTTAGAGTTTATCTTGACCATGCATGACTCAGAGGTGGGCAGTAGAATCAGTTATTTTTAAAAATATAATTGACACGTACTGCGCCCTGTTATTTAGAAAATGGATAACATTCTCAGATTATTATTCAGGACAAAAGAGCATGTCCTTAAAGTGGAAAAAGGAGTGCAGTTGCTCCAGCCTTTGGGTAGTTGTGTCAAAAAGGCTGTTTTTCTAGACCATAAAAATAGCAAAAACAATAAAAAAGAATAGCAATAACAACAACAGGAGCATGTTAATAAAAACAGCAATGAGCCTGACTGGTGTGGTTCTGTGGTTGAATATCAACCTACAATCCAGGAAATCATGGTTCGATTCCTGGTGAGGGCACATGCTGGATTGCAATCTTGAATCCCACTAGGGGGCATGCAGGAGGCAGCCAATCAATGATTCTCTCTCATCATTGATGATTTGATCTCTCTCTCCCTCTTCCTTCCTCTCTGAAATCAATAAAAATATATTAAAACAACAAGAACAACAACAATGGCTATACATTCTTTCATACTTTGATTTTTGCAGGTGGAAAACCATGCCCCCCTAGTCAGGCCCTCCAAGAATATCGCTCATGCAATGACCATTCTTGTATGCAACTCTACTGGGACACATCGCCTTGGGGCCTCTGTACTGAAGACACACTGGGTACTGCTCTTAATGCAACCATTGGATGGAATGGAGAAGCTGCCTGTGGTGTGGGCATTCAGACACGGAAGGTCTTTTGTGTCAAGAGTCACGTGGGACAAGTGATGACCAAAAGGTATTATCAATAATTTAGTGAAAGTGCATAGGATTTTTGCCTATTGGAGTATTTTTAGTTAAAAGCATTTTTAAGCACTGAATATGTCTCAGTCTGTGCTAGAGTAATACATTTTTGTTTTGTCTTGTTTGACTCTTAAAAATTAAAAAAAAATATGCCTTAACAAAGGTAGACACTTTACTAAGTTATAATATGTGTTTAGTGAATGGATAATAGTAAATAAGACCCACAAATAGGGAATCTGTTTGAGTAATCCAATTTTCTAGAGCTGATCTCAATAGTTTTGACTCTTAATCACACGAAGACTGGGTCTACATGAAGGCAGATTTGAACTTTGAAATTATAGGGTTGTATTTTATTCTTATTTAGGTCCCACTGATCTTTTCTGCTGTGAGAAATAAATCTATGCAGCCATTTTGAATATCTTAATTCATTCCCCTGTGCAGGTTTACAATCTCACGGACACTGTATCTGGCACATGAAGCTATAAATAAATAAATAAATAAATAAATAAGTAAAAATCAGTAGGAGATTTTGGACATGGAGAATAGGATATAGATATAAAAAAAGGTCAGGAATAATGAGTGATGGAAGAAAAAGTGTAATTGAGTGGCAAGCACAGCTGGGGAAGTTTCATCTCTAGACCAAATAAAGAGACATACCTCTTCCTCAAGTTCATGTGGGTAATCTCGTGGAGAAGAAAATGTGAAGGACCTGTGCAGTATGCAGAGACTAGCTAACTGGCCTATCCATAGAGGTTTCCAAGTGGCTATGTTTGAATTCGTCCCTGCTTTGTGGTGAAGGCCCCACCCAGACACAGGAGTGGTGGGCCACCAGGGTGGACTGGTGCCAACTAGGCAAGTTAGAGATGTTCCCAAGGAATTTTCAAAATGGGAAAATGAAATCCTTTCTATTCCTGATGCTCTAACTATATGAATTAAGGGTTTCCATTGCCCTGGTTAGGCCTGATGGAAAAAGTAAGAGGGGAGAATGAAGCTGATGCTCAAAAAGAAGCAGAAATCGAAGCAGAACAAATCCTAGCAGCATTAAGCCCTGGTCCCATCCCCCTTAAGTATACCGCTGCCTGTCCTGGCAACCAAGGCAAATGCATTTGCTCTTCTGCCTAATTCAATCCAATTTGTGTTGCTGCCATGGGCAACTCAGACACCTGATTAATCTCATCTTGGGACACCAGAATGACAGGCTCTGGGCCTTATCCACACTGCCATGGAAACCACATTCACTGTGTGTAAGGAAAGTCATAGAAGTTCAGTTAAGGGAAATGAACTGCTGATGGCAGAAATCGCGCAAACTTGCCAGATGCTGCTGATGGTGGAGCCTCCGATGGGCAGCTGGCTGTGTAAGTGAAGGTAACTGTGCCTTACAGTGGACCACAGTCAGGAAGACCTCATCACCCTGCCCCCCCCCCCCCAGTTGTGTTTTCTAAAGTGCTGGGGTTGGATGTTCTCCACTGTAAGGAGCCCAGACTTTAGAACAGTGTTGGGCATGTATGAGTGTTCCATAAGCATTTTAAAATTTATGAATTAACTTGACCTATGTGCTTACCAAGGCTTGGATATAAATTAGAGAAAAATGAGAGTAGATGATGCTTATTATTTGCCTCAAAAATATATTTTATCTACCATAATAAATTTTGGCAAAGAGGACTGCCATGAAGAGTAATGAAGAGATCATACATATGGCCTTCTGCTCTTATTAACTCATAAATGTTATTTCTGTTTAGCATCCAATGCTACATTGCTTGTGATGTTTATTGGAACATCGAATTATGTCAGTTGTGTGTTGAAACTTGCCTGGTATCCATGGGAGTTATAGCTAAACATGGAAATAATGTTTACATATCACCTACTTGAGGTGACTATCTATTTACTGAGGTTATGGTAAAATCCTAAATGGTTAAAAAGGTGTGAAGAGAACTCCTTCTATCTTGGAAAGGATTGCAGCCTTAATAATGTTATTTTTATGATGTAAATATTCAACTGCTAAAAAAAGGATGCATGAAATGTTAGCTTTGTTATACAAATAAAAGTAAATCGATCCTGGATATAGGAATAAGACTTATGTGATATATAACAATATTCTTTATAGTGGTAAGAACCTTTTGCATACTTGAATTCTGATCTCCTACCTTTGACAAAACTTTGCTTAGTTCTTAATCACAACAGATAATAATTCTCTTGATGGGAATGCACCTTGTTTCTTTCTTAGCAAAGGAGAATTGGAATTGAGACTGACACCTAGCAAATAAGTTATCATTACATTGTGAAGGCTATTTGGGCACGAAAAGTCAGATGATATGTTCAACTAGCACTCCAATTCCTTTTCTATCCTCATAATTACTTTGAATGAGACGGTTTTTTTTAATGAAAGTCTAGCACATCAACTTACTCAATTTTTAACTCAATGTTATTTTTATGCCCCCAAATCACAAGAACATAAGTTCATTGTTTAAAGCATAATTCACAAATGAATATGATTTTCTTTAAAAATTTATGTAAGTGAAACTAAACTATTATTATTACAGTGAATAATCTCTAGTTTTGTTCACTTTACCAATAAGAAAAATGAATTGCACAGATGTTTTCCCTCACACACACACACACACACACACACATAGAGATATTACTAATTACTTTTTGCACTGTTAATGAGGCTGGAGACTTAACCTAATTGTAATTCTTACTGTACATCGCCAAACAATCCTGCTTAAACATAAGAAGCCTGATTGACTGTAGTAAAGTCAATTAAAATTCTTGAGATTAATGAGATTAATTGAGCTATAAAAATAATAGCTATTGTCCAGTGAAACACATCATGAGATAGTGAGGTTATCAACAGTAGAAAAATATCTTTTTCTCTGCCCTTTTAAAAAATAAATATGTTTGTTCTTTTTCAATTGAAAGCCATTGCAGTGGAGAAAGGCCCCCTGCCATTTGTGAAATCCTTGAAGTGGGGGTGGGGCAAGAGAAAAAGGAAAGGAGAGGAAAATCTCCTAAAAAAACAGTGGCCTTGGCTTAGAATGAAAGAAGCATGCCTCCATGGAATGGATCAGCTAACATAACGTATTTTACCTCTAAACTCACTGTACTGGGATGCACAGAATTCCTTGCAAGTTCTCGCTTCCCTGGGTTGGTGTTTTGGTTTCCATGCAATTGTGTAGGTGAGAATGTCACCATTGTATGAGTAATAGAACTGATCATATCAGAAAATGAGAACTAGCTAGGGCACAATGGAAACAGAAGTGAGAGCGTGTTGGTATATTTTGGGGGTTTTGTTTGGTTTGCTTCATGATTCAATGTTGTTTTTTTTCCAGCTGCAATGTAGAAAAATAATAATAAAGATTAAAAACACAAAACTCAAAGCTTTCCAAAGGTCCTGATAAGTCACTCTCTGCCTTTAATGTAAAAACACCTGGCATTTGGTGAGCTATAGGAATATAAAATTCCAGTGAAACATTTAATGTTCAAACAGTGGTCAGGTTTGCCCCCTTAGCTGAGTGAGCTGGAACATCAGCCCGGGGGTAGGAGGCCTGCTCTAGAAGATGGAGCACTGTGTGTCTGCATCTTGATTATGGAGGCAAACTGAAAAGTGACAAGTCTTGGTAGCTCCATTTAATACATTTCCTCACAATGCTTATAAGGAAATTTGGCCTACAGGGAGACCAAGAAACAATCATAGAATACTTCAATGCAAGTCCAGGAAAATACATGTGTTCAGTTGGGATGCCTTCATCCTTTTATCAAGAGCACAACCAAATATGACAAAAAGCAAGGGCCATGGTTGGTTTGCTAAAAAGTGAATCCATGTTTCCTTGCACTTCAATTTTGTTTTGGAGAAAGCTGGATAGATTTGTCTAATATTCCCAGGGATTTATTTGTCTTCAGGCTCCAAAAGCATATGATACCATTCAATCACTGACTTACTGTTACTAATATTTGCAATGCACTAAGATCTGGTATTTTTAAGTTATGACATAAGATGGAGTTCTACAATCAAAGCATTCAAAGTTAGTGTATGTATTTTGTATGCGCATGTGTGCATTTGCACACACACAATAGAACAGCAGCACAAAATATGTCAAAAGTCTTTTTTCAGTCAGTGACAATACAAGATTACAGAAAATAAAAGCCTGTAGCTTTTAGAAGCAGTGGGGGCGGGGCACATAAGTTGCTAATGGTCAAAGAGAATATTTTTAAAGACTAAGAGGAAATTCATGGAAATTGAAAATGTGATGATCCTTGAAGCAGTAGACATTCCAACAAAGCCCTTAGTTCATAGACTCTATAAAAGCAATACAACCTGAGCATCTTGACCTTTGCCACTGAGGAGATAGCATTTCTCTCCTATGGACCTAGTGGAGGAGCACAGAGAGAAAGGGGGCCATATTGTGGAGAGCTGACATTAGGCTCAGTGAGTGATTATTGTGAGTGATGGGAAAACAGCTTAAATAAAGTAGTCAATATCAGTACCCTAGAAAGATGAACTCTCACTCATAACTGAAGTGAGCCACGTCTCTGCAGAGCATGCCACCCTCTCCAGCAAGTCTGCAGCTGGCACCACACATTTCTAAGCTCTGTGGAGTGTGTAGGTGAGTGTGCAGTAGGATGGTGTGGGCCCTCCTGCCCCACTATGCACACAGGGAGTTGGCTTTACACAGGTTGTACTATCATTTCCAGCCAAATACCAGGAGAGGCTAGAATTCACAGCAATTCAGTTTAATTTCAGTGTATTTCAGAGTGTGACTAAAGGACTTGGGAATGATTTTAGGTTTTTTTGCTATCTCTACTAAAGTATGACATAAATTTTCCCTACCAGAGTAGCTTGTTTAAGTAACACTATATGCTCATAAAGACACTCTAAGGATACTCTTTTTTTTTTTCTTTTTGTTATTAGATTCATTGAATTAAACTATTTGGTAGACAGGCTTTTGTGTGTTAAGCATAATTAATAAAAATGCCACTATAATGAATTGAATAATTTGTTTTCTATGAATATATTTTCCATTTTCATCAAAGTAATGATATGCTCCATAGTAGAACTGAAATAATACATTTAATTTGCTGATGATGGAAAGCAACCAGTCCCCAATGATCTGCTCTGCTTAGCACCCCACATCCCAGATACAACCACTCCTTAATAGTTGTTTTAGATGTCTTCCCTCCACCTCCCTTATTTTGACAGGGCAAGCCTTTGCATGGTTCACAAATCTTAACAATATACAAGGAGATAGCTACACTAATAAAAGACAAATATGCTAATTGGCCATACCTTTGTTATGCTCACCAGCCAATCAGAAGAGTATGCAAATTAACCCAACAAAGATGGCCATTAAATTTGCATACTGCAGGCAGATCCCACTGCGCTGCCCTGCCCTGGGTTGGCAGCAGCGTGATCCCGTGCCGCTGCCCGCCCCAGAGAGGGATCCAAGCCTGCCATCTGCAACCAGGGTGATGGGGCAGGCATCGTGGGATTGGGCATGCCATCTGCCACCAGGGGAGCGGGCCTAAGCCAGGAGGTGGTTATCTCCTGAGGGATCCCAGACTGTGAGAGGGCACAGGTTGGGCTGAGGGACCCCTCTCCTGCCAGTACACACATTTTTGTGCACCGGGCTTCTAGTAAAATAATAACAGGAAGCCTTCAGATACCCCTGCTCCCCTTCCTTGCCTCCTGCCCTGCCACTGGCTATGGCTTTATTAGTTTTTTATCTATCCACTGTGTCTGTATGTTAATATGGGCCAGCCCATGTAAATATTTTATTTGTTCTTCCTTTCTGAGGTTTAGTTTCTAATGCTGCATGACATGTTTTTTAGATATCCTTTATATATCTCTTAATTTCTTAATTTAAAATGTCCATTCATTGATTCTTATCATGAAAACAATGAATGCAGCCCATTCACAGTAATTCCTCTACCGATTCCCCACATTGTTGACTTTATTTCTTATTCGTTTATGTGTTGATTGGCGCTCTGACCCTCTGCTTTGTTAGATGAAGCTATCCAAGCCTCCACTTTCTCCTCTTTTCCTTCCATCTCCAATCCTTTGCCCACTGTGTCTTATGAGGGCAAGAATATCATGTACTTTCTGTTCCACAGCCAGATTCCATCTCCCATGTTTTGTCTATGTATTTTTTCTAAAGATTTAAAACTAAGAAGATGTTTTCATTTTTATAACTGTAAATTCATGAGCTCTAATATTAATCAGACTAGGGGTCCAGTGCACAAATCCGTGCACCTTGAAAGGAACTGTGGGCCATAAGACTGTGGGGGGCACAGGGGCGGGTCTCGGCCCATCCTCTGTGCCCCCTCCCTCCCAGCCCCTCCTGCTGCAGCCCCCAGTCCCCTGTTTGCTGGCAGCCCCAATCCTGCTGCCACCGCACCAAGAAGCAATTGGGGCTGGCGCCAGCAGTGGGTGCCAGCGGGGCCGGCAGCAGGTGTGAGGACCAGTCAGGACCTCGGCGCACAGGAGCAAAGAATTTTTAGTAACCACCAGAGGCTCGCCCTGGTAACAGCGAACAGCACCCTGCCTTGGTCTGGCGCCCCTGCTCAACTGCTCCACCATCCCACCGGGGCCGATGCCCACCATGTTCCGTGCTCTGCTGCCTGCTGCGACACCCACTATGTTCTGGGCACACCCCCTGGTGATATCATCGCTTCTCTTACTTTTTCTTAGTGTTTGAAATTTGGACAATCTCTGTGTTTGCATATTTGTAATTTTGTAATTCAGTTGGTGAGCTTTTATCTGAATCTTCACACTCTCATCAGCTCTTTTTGTTGTTGTTTTTGTTAATCCTCACCTGAGGATATATTTTCCATTGATTTTTTTTTTTTTTTAGAGAGAGTGGAAGGGGGAGAGAAAGAGAGAGAGAGAGAGATGGGAAAGACACATCAATTGGTTGCCATGTGTTGAGCAGGCAGGCCAGGAATCAAACCTGCAGCCCAGGTACCTGCCGTTGCCTGGGAATCGAACCCACTACCATCCAGTGCATGGGCCGATCCTCTAACCACTGAGAAACACTGGCCAGGGCTAGCTCTTTGTTTTTTTAATCCATTATTATTTTTGTGAATTTTATCTTCTACATCTTCTGTTCTCTTGTACTGGAAGGACTTTTGATTGTCTGTTTGAACTTGCTAGACCTGGTGCTTTATAATTTTTCTCAAGTACTCTGTCCCCAGGTGGCTTTGGCACCTCAGTTTTATCATCTGAAAATGAAGATTATAGTGACTTTTACTTTGTCATTAGGGAGAAATGAAAGAATGTAGGCAAAACACAATGCAGCACTGGGGATCTAATATCAAAGCTCACACCATCAGGCTTTATGCGTACTGCATCACTGTTTTTGTATTAGAAACTTATGAGGAACAGAATTTAAAGTGCAAACATGTTATGAGGTATTTTTCTATTTTTTCCTCATGGCATATCACTGTTTTAGAAGATAATAAATGTGGTTTTTAGCCCTGTGTTATCATAAAAAAAAAAACAGGAAAAAAATACGTGTTTGCCATATTCTGAGACTTTAGTACTTCCCAGCGAAATGAATCCATGGACTATTTATATTACTTTTCCTCCCAAGATGAACATTAAATGAATAATCAACAAAATCATGGAAGTGCTTCCCTTGCTAATGCTAGTCAGTGCATACGTTACTTGCAGTCTGTCATATCTTGCTTACTCCACTTCATCAATCTACAGGTTCTAAAGAGACACCTGACTATTGTAAATTGTGTTAATAATCGGATATGTATAGTTCAGTGGAATTCAACGATTTTTCTTTCTCAATTTTTCCATTTATTGCCTTGGACTTTCCTCTTCCCTTTGATATCACTGATTTGATATATTACCCTGAATAAAACACTTCAAAAATATGTGCTCATTCTAAATATATATATATATAAATTTTTTGTTTGAATTGATGCTGCTAGGGAGACCCCTCCTTGGTGTCTGTCTTTGGTTAGTTTCAGGGCTTGTGTTTTTCCTGGTCTGGGGGAAAGTAGTGCAGTGTCTGGGACTAGAGAGCTGAGGCCTCTTTCTGCTCTGCCTCTGCCTGAAGCGCCCTTGGGCAGTAGTTTCCCGCCCCGGGGCTCTCTCTCCTGGTCTCTAAAACAACAACAGGGCGAAATCCTGCAGTTTTGTGTTAAAGCACTGACGTTCCCCAGCAGGCATTGATATGGTCTCTTCACATTGACAGGTGTCCAGATTCCACTCGCCCTGAAACAGTGCGCCCTTGTCTCCTCCCATGCCAAAAAGACTGCACCGTGACCGCGTTCAGCGAGTGGACGCCCTGCCCAAGGCTGTGCCAGCCAGGTAGGCGGATGCTGTTTCTTTCTGCTTTATTTCCTAACCACTTGCTTGTGTTCCCCACCGCTCAACAGCGAGAGAATGCCGAATGGGAGTACCCTTCCTGGGAACGAGGTTTGTAACATTTGCAAATAAGGTCTGGCATTTCAGAGCCATCAGAACTAGGCGGGGCAAACATATTTGGTTGTGATGAGCCGTAATTTCACTGGGGTGCACGGTGGGAGTACTCATCTTCTGCTAACCCTGCATGGCGTTTTGAACCATTCATATGTGATTCACATAATGCATCACCACCATCACAATTTATTTGTTGTTCCCATGTGCATTTGTATTTCTTTATTTTAATGGTTATGCTTTGTCCTCCTGGGTGTACTTATAGGGCTATGGCCCAGAATCCTTAATACCAAATTCTACTAAACACACAGGAGCACTTCGGTAACATGATCCTCTTTCTTAGAACAGGACTTGGCCCCCCATCCTATCTACTAAAGAAGGAATACGCTAATTGACCCTCACACTGTGGCAAAGATGGCAGCACCCACAGCCAATAAGGAGGGCATATGCTAATTGACTGCCCCACCCTCAACAATAGCGGCACCCACAGCCACAAGATGGCAGTGTCCAGTCTCCTCAGCCCCACTGGGGTCGCAGGCGTGCCTCCCGAAGTCCCTCATCCCCGCAGCCCCCCAGCTGCCCAGGGCTGGCCTGAGCCGCAGGTAACCAGGGCTGGCCGAGGCTTTTGCTGCCGGCAGTGGCAGCAGCAGAGATGTAATGGGGCATCACCTTCCCCTGATCGCCAGGCCACCTCCCGCCTCCTGGACTGTGAGAGGGGGCAGGTCAGGCTAAGGGACTCCCCCCCCCCTTTAGTACATGAATTTTCATACACCAGGCCTCTAGTATTTATTATGGTTCCCTGATGAGCTAGTACATGGAGATATAAAGGGTCCTACCCTCAAAGCTCCATTTAAGCCTAAGACCAGGAGTTAATAATGTAGTTGCTCTTCCTTAGTCTCACTCCTTGGCCTTGGTCCTGTACATCTCACCATTGTCACAGTAAGAAAAGGCACATCCACGAAAAGGAGGGATGGAGTGCCCAGAGTAAATTGGGGCTCAGCCACACACCCCTGGCCTTCGCTTGATGGTCAGACCCTCTGAAGCAGGGTATGACCCGCACTGTTGCCGCACTCACCTCCTGGTGGAAGGAGGAAAGTGCGTCATTCTGTAAAGAGAATCTACCACAGAGGCTGAGAGCATTAACACCTTTCTGTGCAGAATCCCAGCTCAATGAATCTGGGATCAACCAAATGTACTTTGACTCACACATCTTCCTGGGAGTGACATGAGATGTGACCAACCTCGCAGTGACTGGCCAAAGGGCGGTGGCCGCTGGTGAGGATCGTCATCATCAGTGTTTCAGGTAGCAGTGGCGGGGCACCTGCGCCAAGCTTTAGAACCGCCATTTCCTCTTCGTAATGACTCTTTGTCAAAGCAGCAATGAAGTAGCATCCAGTGAGCTTTGCTTATGGATAGAATCAGAAAGAAACATATTGAATATAAAAGAGCTTTGAAAGTACAGTCAAATATTTAGCTAATCTTTCAAAGGGGGGAAACAACAATCTCTTCTAGAGATTCTCCAAAACATACTTTTCTGAATGAAGTTCTGACGTGAGTGGACTGAATGAACAGGGCTGGTCCAGAGAAGTCAGGGGGATGCCATTTCCAGACAGAGTGGAACAGAAGAATAATCTATATATGGAACCACTGGGAAGGCAGCATCTACGAAACTGGCTTTTTGAATTTTAATAGTAATGAACCCGAAAAACGTACCAACTCTTAAAGATAAATTTTGGAAACATTGACAAAGATAAAATAATCTGTGATGTTGGAATTGTATTGGGTTCCGCTATTTCTTTTAGTTTCTTCCCCATGGAAGATAAGTATAATTCCTTTCCTAAATGGTTATAAGAAGGGAAATAACTGAATTAAAAAGGGTGCCCACTGGCAGCCAGATATTGATGGGGGAGCAGTCAAGGCCTGCTGACCCTCAGGAGGTGTATTAGTTTTGCTGAGCCGGTACATCCTCATGGCCACAGATTATTTCAGCTACTGCTATTGCACCTATTCTACATTCAAGAAAAATCTCTCTGTCACCCAGGGCGGGGGTGGGGGAGGTGGTCTTCTCCTAGCACTGGCTAAGGATGGAGACATCATAGGTCATGTGAAATGATTGCTTTTCGAGCAATATTAAATTTTACTCCAATTTCCAGAAAGTCACTTAATTATTTAAATGTTGGCATTGAAATAAAAATAGTTCTAAACCTCTGTGGTCTCTTTTTGCCTCCACTTTTTTCAAGCCTAGATAATTCTTTTCACAGCCTGGCAGCCAAGGGACTTGAAGGGGCAAAGATTCAATTTTCAGATTTCTTCTGGCTTTCCACTTCAATTCTATTTACCCTCCTGTTAGTTCACACCTTGGGAGTAGTAGAGGGATAGGCAAAAGTAGATTTACAGTTGTGGGTATGTGAAACAAAGTTTATTCTTGTATTATTATTTATTTTTGTATTACATATTTTTCCATATGAACAATTGTAAACCTACTTTTTCCCACCCCTGTATGGGTCATTCAGAATTTCAAATAAGTTGAAAATCTCCTCATCTGGACTTGAAAATTTCTTCTACTCAAAGGCAAACTGTCGCCACCCTTTCTCTTTACCTACTCCTTTCAAGCACACATGATCCCATCTTTCTCCCCACAGACTCATCTGTACTTTTGTCCGCTTGGGAAGTGGAGGATAAAGTATTAATTTACTCCCAAATAATGAGGAGTCTACACTGTGTGAGAGATCAAGAATTGGGGCTCGAAACATGTCCTCAAAATAATGTTGGAGAGAATGTAATAATCTAATAATATTCCTTCAGAAAGTGACTTAACCTAAGTCTCAGTTTTCAACTCTGTACATTTTGGGTGTTACTATTCTCAGTATTCTTTGAAAAATGATATAAGAGGTGCATCTCACATATACGCCCCAAGTGCAAATCTCATTATACAAAGTATAGGTGCCTTTGACTTTACAAGCTCCACTGGGGGTGACAGACCTCCTTTAGTCTATAATTGAAAAGCCATAGATCACAGATCACAAAGCCCTAGGACTCTTACTAGTAAATATTCCCAAAAACTTAATAGGAAGAATTACAAACGCTTGGACTTGAAAAGGTTACATTTCTCAATCATACTCCTACTAAACTGAGGAGTTCTGCTAATAAAATTCATAGAGGACACTTTTCTTAATTCATAGGGAAAAAAGAGATAGATATAATTCTCTTAATTTCTTTTAAAATTTTCCTCCAATGTGGGTATTTCTTCTTCTGCCTGTCTCTACTAAAACCCAGTGGGAAGTGGTTTTGATTTGGCAATAAAATAAAAATAAATGGAACATTATTTTTAAAGTCCCATGGCCACATTCAGGGAGACCACTGATAAGAACCGCTGCTCAGAGCTGGAACTCTTAGTTGGCGTCCCTACACTTCTTCACAGCATATGTTAGTGCAAATAGTAGCTGATAGGGAAGCATTCTCAGTCCACACACGTCCTCCTCTCCACTGCATCCTCTTCATTCTGGGCCAGAGGTTGATGTACATTTGTAGAGACCTGGAGTTCACAGTATCACCAGCTGGGATTTTATTTTACCTCCTGCAATGGCGCCAGGAGGTAGGTCTAATTGTATATGACTAACAGGTGAGGAACACCCAGCTCAAAAAGATGAAATTTTGTTTACAAGATCACCAAACCTGTCAGAGGCGAAGCCACGGTTGGGATCCAGATTTCTGTGACTCTAGGGCCTGCCTGTATTCATCCCACAGCAAATTATTTCTCATATTCCTAAGCACAGCTCATCGGTTTGTTTATTACCAATTGGAGAACCTGAAGCCTGGTACAGCAAGGGAATATAGTCAATATATTGTAATAACTTTGTATGGGGGCAGATGGCTACTAGGATTATTGCAGTGTTCATTTTGTAAGGTATATGAATGTGGAATCACTGTGTTGTACATCCGGAATGCATAAAATATTGTATGTGAACAATAATTTAAAAATAAGTAAATTAATTTTATAAAGAAGATTTGTGAAGTGGCTCTGCATGTTACAGTCCTGCCACACATTGCTTTCATGTGCGCTATCTCATTGACTGTCAGGACAGTGTGATGACAAAGGAACAGCTGTTCCATGAGTCCTGCTCTGTAAAGGAGGATCTTCAGGAAAGCACCTTGCTCACCTGACCCAATAGAAGCAAAGATACCCGGTTTAAATTAAACGTGCTACATTGCCTTGCCTAGTGAGCCTGTACAGTACTACACGAAACAAAGCTGGACAAGTTCAAATCTTATCTGTAATAAGTTATAGTAACGTAATATCTTTGTCTTGGCTTCATCTCACTGCCTCTTTCTACCAAATTAGTAAAACCTGTAGCATTGACATTCATTATTCTATTGAATTCTTTTCTCAACCCTATATGAAAAGAGTGATCACAACCCCATGTTACATATGAGGATACAGAGACTTAGAAATAGGGCCCAAGATTGCAAAACTGATAAATGGCAAACCATGTGGAATCCTAGTCTCTTGACCACTCATGTAGGAGTTAACATTTGCTGAACAATCCCTGTGTTCCAGGCACTGCGCTAGGTTAGGTACTATATATGCATAGAGTGGTGACTGAAAAACACATCCAGGCATTATGGAGATCACAGTCTAGTGGAGGAAGATAGAGCGATTGAACACATTACCCAAATGAATATGCAGTTACAAAGTGTGGTATGTGCTTTGCAGAAATCCATGGTGCTATGGGGGAAGGTAGTAAGGAAAATCAGAATGACCCTCCATCTAGAATATCTTTTTTTAAAAAATTATTTCTTTATTGATTAAGGTATTACATATGTGTTCTTATCCCCCATTGCCCCTCCACCCCTCACTCGTGCCCTCGCCCCCCTGGTGTCTCTGTCCAGTG